TTCTTTTTCTAGTTCTTTTAGGTGCAAAGTTAGATTGTTTGAGATTTTTCTTGTTTCTTGACATAGGCCTGCATTGCTATGATCTTCCCTCTTAGAATAGCTTTTGCTACATCCCATATATTTTGGTATGTTATATTTGTTTTGTCTCTAGGTATGGTTTGATTTCTCCTTTGATTTCTTTGATGACGTATTGGTTGTTCAGTAGCATATTGTTTGATTTCTAGTTTCATATTATTGTGATGGGAAAATATGCTTGATATTATTTCAATCTTAGATTGAGACTTGTTTTGTGGTATAACATGTGATCTATCCTGGAGAATGTTCCATGTGCACTTGAGAAAACTCTGTTGCTTTGGGGTAAAATGTTTTGTATATATCTATTAAGACCATGTGGTCTAATGTGTCATTTAAGGTCTTATGATTTCTTACTATTTACTTTTAGTGATTCCTCATTGGTTTTTGTCTGAATGATCTACCCATTGATCTAAGTGGCGTGCTATGTATTGCTGTATTTCCCCCTTTTGGTCTGCCAATATTTGCTATATATTTTTGGCGCTCCTATGTTGGGTGCATATATCTTTATAAATCTTACATCCTCTGGCTGGGTTGATCCCTTTATCATTATGAATGTCTCTCTGTCTTTTACTACAGTCTTACTTTTAAAGTTAATTTTGCCTGATATGAGAGTATAGCTACACCAGCTTTGTTTTTATTTCCATTTGCATGGAATGTCTTTCTCCATCCCTTCACTTTTAGTCTGTGTGTCCTTAATTCTGAAGTGAGTCACTTCTAGGCAGCAAGTGAATTATTCTTGGCTATTTTTTAGTTCCTCTCTGTTCCTTTCTTCTCTTTCTCTCTTCCCTTGTGGTTTGATGACTTTCTTTAATGTTATCTTTAGCTTCCTTTACATTTTCTTATCTGTATTTACTGTTTTTTTGCTTTGTGGTTGCCGTGAGGTTCACGTATAACATCCTATGTATATAACAATCTATTTTAAGTTGAAAGCAACTTAAATTTGAACACATTCCAACACTATATTTTTACTCCTATTTTGGTTTTGATGTCACACTTTACGTCTTACTTTATGTATCCCTTAACTAGTTATTGTAGTTTCATTTAATTTATTTGTCTTTTGACCTTCATATTAGCTTTATAAGTGATTAATCTACTACTTATACCTTTTACAGTGAGGTTTTTACTTTTGTGCTTTCTTGTTATTAATTAGTGCCATTTCTTTTCAGCTTAAAGAAGTCCCTTTAACATTTTTTGTAAGGCCAACTGGTTTTTTTTGTGTGTTTTTTTAAAGATTTTATTGGGGAATTGGGGGAGGGGAACAGCGTTGGGGAATCAGGGAAGGGGAACAGACAAGTTGCTGTCCTTTTTTGTTCTTCAGTCCAGTTGTGGAGGATGTCGCTTCACTGGCCCATGTTGCTATTATCATTGCGCTCTTCCAGGGTGAGGCAGTCACTCGCCGGCCATCGGACGGCCGCTCACAGCGGCTCATGACAGCTCACAAAAGCTCCCGCCTTCTGCCAGCCAGCCCCACTGCAGCCTACGCCATCACTGGTGACTAACGGCAGCCCAGCTCCAGGTAGAGCTGTTTGTTGTTCACCATCTTAGCTGTAGAGGGTGCAGAGTCACTGGCCCTCATGTGGGATCCGAACTGGGACCCTGCTGCTCAGAGCTGGCATCTCAAGCCAACTCTTAACCAATGTGCCACTCAGCTGGCCCCCAACTGTTGTTCATTTTGGGTTTTTTTAAGGCTGTAGTTTGTTTCTTTTGATTGCTGAGTAGTATTAAAAACCAGTTTATCTGATGTCTTGTTGAGAGTAATTTGGGTTGTTTCCTTTTTTTTTAATTATGACTACAGCTGCAATAAATACTTTTGGTGAACATATTATTTCATTTGTGGGAGGATAGAATGCCTAGGAGTGAAATTGCTGAGTCATAGGTAAATATGTTAATTTATGCAAAGTTCTGGTGTTCTATAGTTGCAACATTTTACACCCAACCACCAGTTGTATGTGAAAGCCTCAATTGTTGCACATCCCCTCCAACATTTGGTCTTGGCTGCCTTTTTAAGTATTCTAGTGCAATCTCATTGTGGTTTAATTTGCATATGCATTATGAAAAGTCAAATTTACTTAGATACAACAAAACACCCATCTTAAGTGTAGAATTTGATGAGTTTGGACAAATACCATATAACCACCACCATGAAGATATAGAATATTTCCAATGCATTTCTTTATAGTCAATCCCCTCCCTCATCTATAGTCCCTGGCAATCACTGATATACTTTGTTACTGATATACTTTGCCTTTTCTAGAATGTTATATACATGGAATTATAAAGTATGTAGTCTTGTTTCTGGCTTCTTTCACTTAGCATAATGCCCTTGAGATTCATTCATGCTGTTGCATGTATCAGTTTACTCCTTTTTTATACTTCAGTAGTTTTGAACAGATATATCACAATTTGTTTATTCATTCACTAATTGTTGGATATTTGGGTTGCTTCCAAGATTTTGCTGTTATGAATAAAGCTTCTGTGAACATTTGCATGCAGGAGTAAATTGCTGGGTCATATTTAAGAGTATGTTTATTATAAGAAACTACTAAGCTGTTTTCCAATGTACCATTTTGCAATCCCACCAGCAATTTATGTGGCCCAGCTACTCCCCTTTTGGATACTTGGTATTTTCAGTCTATATTTGAGCAATTCTATCGTATAAGTGGTGTCTCGTAGTTTTTCTTCTCCTTTGTTTTTGTTTCGTTTTGTAGTACTTTTCCTCCCTTCAAACTCTTGTGTTAAAGGCTGGCTTTCAATAAATCAGTGAGGGAGCAGCTCTGCTATATAGCAACCCTGACCCAGGAGCAGTTCTATGAATGGTTTAGCACCAGGCTCCCCAAGAAATATACATTGTGTGACATGTAGGGGGTGGCCCCCTTTCTAGCTATACCATTTCTCTGGAGGGGCTCTCTGCTCAGGGCTCAGTCCAGCATGCCCCTGCACCACCTGGGGAGCACTCAGTCATCTGCCTGCAGGGACAGTGGGGTACCAGCAAACCAAGGCTCAGCCACGCTGCCCTATCATTCTGCCTTTGTGGGATTTGGACTTAGGGGTTTAGTCATAATCTCACAGATGGTAGCTTCACTCCACTGGCTCCTTAGCCAAGCATATACACCAAATGTCTGAAACTATTTCATTATAGTTTTAATTGCCTGAAGCTTTCATTGTTCTCAGGTTGATGAAAGGTCAAGTCAAATGGGTCTGTATTGATCCCTTGACATCAATAAGGGTGCAAACTTTTTTTTTTTTTAAGATTTTTATTGGGGAATTGGGGGGATGGGAACAGTGCTGGGAAATTAGGGGAAGGAGAACAGACAAGTTGCTGTCCTTTTGTTCTTCAGTCTAGTTGTGGAGGATGTTGCTTCACTGGCCCAAGTTGGCACCATCATTGCGCTCTTCCCGGGCGAGGCAGATCAGTCGCCGGCTTCTGGACGGCCGCTCACTGCGGCTGCTGGCCGCTCACGCTGGCTGCTGGCTGCTGGCTACACACGGCAGCCCATGGCAACCCACTGCAGCAGGGGCTGCAGCCTACGCCGTCGCCGGTGACTCATGGCAGCCCAGCTCCAGGTTGAGCTGTTGTTCAGCATCTTAGCTGTAGAGGGCAGTGTCACTGGCCCTCATATGTGGGATCCGAACCGGGGCCCTCTGGCATCCCAAGCCAGTTCTTAACCATCACACCACTCGGCCGGCCCAAGGGTGCAAACTCTTAAGCGGGATCGAAGAGGCCAAGAAGGGTGGTTTGAGAGGCTGGAACAGAATCTCAAGTGGCATGAAATGGAGTTCCCTCAGCCACAGATCTCTGAAAACCAAGAATGTTTCTAAGTCTCAAAGTAGTTGGGTGATTCAAACAGTAGACAGAGATGAGCCTTAGTCTTAAGGGACAAACCCAGAGGACGCCAGAAGGGGAGTTCTCATGGCTGCCTATGGTGACTGCCTTATCTAGGTAACTAATTCAACTGATGAGGCAAGTGGAATGGACTGTGTACCCAATGCATCAGCCTCCTTTACTGGCCCAGTGCTGTGTAGCCCCAGAGGACAATCAGGTGTGTTCTTTGGCTAGGGTGACAGGCAGGGACAATCACCCTCAACTAAATAGTTTGAAACCATAAGAATGTACCTGTAATGCCAACTGTCCCTTCTCACAGCTGTAGGGTGTTCTCCGGCTCCAGCTGTAGTTCAAGGTCTCTATTTTCTATATCACGCTCCTCATTCCAGGCACTGGGCACCCATTGCTCCCTTGCTCTCCCTTTCGTATCAAAGCTTCTCTTGGAATACGACAATAATCTCATTCATTCACATACTTCTAATGCTTAATGTGCATCCTTACCCAGGGAATACGCATTCTGTGAAATATTTAACCAAAGAAGTAAATCCCCAACAAAGAGTAAACTAGAATGAATAACAAGGCTAGTGCTTCTGTGTGTTGGGGTGAAGGTGGTGAGGTACCTAAACCCTGTTCTGGCCTTCTTTACCTTTAAAACGGCTCTATAGCTGCTTCACTTCCCTTTTACAGTTCTTGCCTGCCTCTCCCTCCCCAAAGAACAGGGTTTGAATAACAAATGGAGAAAGGAGTAACCATGCATTATGAAACCTCTAAGTCCTAAGTGCTTTTACTATGTTTTGCTTAATTTTCACCTCCCTTCAATGTAGGTATATATTGATATAAAAAAAAAAAAAAACAAAAACAAAAAACAAGATTTTAAAAAGTTAGATGACATGCTCAAGATCATACAGCAGAACTAAGATTTGAACCCAAGGTCAGTCTCCAAGGCCCATGCTCTTTTCCTATTTTCCTATCAGAACACCATCTTTTCATTAGTATTTAGTTTCTGACCAATCCTGAGTGACTTTGAAGTAAACAGAAATAGTGACCTCCTTGCCCTCCACCCCGAATTCTTACTCCTGTGCTCGAAATACTCTGTACTTCATTCCTTGACTCGAGCATTCACGCCCCTTCCTCTAAACAGGGTCTGGGTAAGTTATCAACTTAGGAAAACAACTGACATGTTCTGACAAACATTTATTCTACTATACCCCCAAATTTAAACCTTTAAAAAAAAACAAAACAAAACTCATTACTTCCCCCGAATTCCTTATTCGGCTGAATACCTGATACTGTAGGTATTCATCGCTAAGTATGTATACTGAATGCTTAATAAGCAGGATTTCATTTTCTCTCAAGGGTGAAAGGGAAATACGATACATAAGCCCCGTTCCTTCTCCCACCCAACAAAACACTGACCTATCAGATACTTAAATGTGATGAAAGTTTAAAGAGAGAGTTGGCTTCATGGACCTCTGCTACTGGGCTTGAATTTGACTTCTTTACTACAGAGCAGCAGGAGCTGTCCCAGGGCTCTGCCACCAAGCTTTTTCCACAACGGCCAATATGGCCGTCACACTGGCCAGCACAGTCATCTACTGTGTGGCCTTACACCTAGTCAGGGCTCTCAGTGGTTTTTTTCCTGGCTCCATCTGAACTCACCACAGAACTCCAGGAGCCATGCCACAGAGTAGAGCATTTTTCAAAAGCTCTGGGAGGAAAATGGAGGCAGAGGGCCCAGGGGGGGAGCTTCCTGCCTGATGTGCAAAGGTGGAAACTTGGGTATCACAGACGGGGACAAGTCAGCTTCTTGTAGGGACCAGAGGCTGCTAGCAACACAAAGTAAAGAGGTTGCAGGGCTAGGGAGGGGGCAAGCAGCAACCAGAAAGTGCGGGGTTAGGAGGAGCACTGTTCGAGTGAAAACAACCTTTCTGATCCAAACTCTCCCACCTGGCTTCACTCTGCCCCGGGGGACAAAGAAGTAGAACTTCTGGTTCAGGTGCCAGTATCCTTGGAGATCTCCATCTGTACAGTTCACTATCACTGAGACTTGGAGAGGGAGGTAGATTCAGTTAAGAACATCAGAGTTAATCAGTTGTCTGACTAGGAGCCCAGCCTATAATGGTGGCTGCTTCTGAAACCCATCTGCCATGCCACCAGACCCTGCTTGCCCTAGCGACCTGTGAGCCAGAGCCAGCTATTCAGAGACAGCAAAGGAAGTAAGCGGAACGTGAGCCTTCCTCTGGTCGCGGGGAAATCACCACTCCTTCGACCGTCCCCCAGGGCTGTGTCCTTTGATATATGGACACAGACAACAGCAACTGGGATTATCTGGGTCCTTCATTGAAATTCACAAAGTTCACAGAACCTCTCACCCTCAGCAAGTCAACAGCTGAAGAGGTAACATCCATGAGAGAGAAGTCTAGAAGGCTGACCAAGTCGTGATGTGAGGTCAGAATAGGAAGACCTAGGGCTACTGGCAGGGTGGATGTATGAAAAGATAAATGGTCTGGCGGTGGTGAAGCTCCCAAGATGAGGTTGACAGGAAGTGAGTTCATCATGTCATGGCCTCTCCCTGTCTACTGAGGAAGCCTGACGGTTTCTGAAAGTGGCTCCTCAGGACAGAGGGTGAGATATGAGGAGATGAAGACCTTCAAAAGAACCTCCTCAATTATAGACAAAGGACTTCAGGCTCAAATATGTTCACTATGTTTTCTCCTCTTGAACTATAATTCAATCACTGTACCAAGGCCTAAAATAAACCACACATGGCTCTCTGAGGATAGAAACCAAATCCTGCTTTATAAGGCTGAGTGGCCATCATTGGCTTCTCTGCTGAGATATGAGGTACCAGCCAGTGAACCTTCCTCACCTTTTTCCCGTTCCCACCACCCCTCCAGCCCTCCAGATACCCATTTCTGGAATTCAACCACTTCAAAAAATACTCTCAGGAGGGGCACGGTGGAGGGGGCAGGGGCTCAGGCTGGCCAGCTGACCGGTTCCCATGAGGTAGCTAACAGTGGTGCTCCTGGGCAGGGGCTAGTGGAGAGAGGCCAGTCATGGGCTCACAGCAGCCAGGAGGGAGTCACCGGTTGACTGGGAAGTGGGGGAAGCAGAGAGTGTCAAAGTCTGCCCAGACTACATGACCACAGGTAACATGTGGGTGGAGAGGCTGGGCTCTTTGCTGGTGTCCTCACTGTCCTTTGAAGAAATAGGATTCCTGGGGAAAGAGGAAAGGCCAGCTTGAGTCTTCTTGGGCTTGGGTGTGGTCCCATCATCAGGGAGTGGTACTATTCCCTCAGAGGAGCTGTGTTTTCTAAAGGGAACAGGTGAGAAACAAATGGCTGAGACTCTGTAGCTGAGACTTCAGCCTATGATCTGCCTTCAGAGTCTCAACCAGGCATTCACAACATCATGGTGTTATAGATCATAATTATATGGAGGTATAGGCTTGAGAGCTAAAGTGCAAGTGTGAAGGGTAGGAGGGCTCAAGATTTTCTACAGCTAGTGGGCATGGCTGAAAGTGGCCCCTTCTGTGGATGACTCTGTGCTCAGCTCAGTTTCACTGGGCAGACCAAGAGCCACCAGGAAGAGGATATTATAGCTGCATATTCTGATACTCCCACCAGCCCTCAGTTGGAGAATGCTGATGTTTTCATGATCTGGGGAGACAGGAAGAAAGAAAACTCCCTGAACTCATGCCTAACACCCTTCCCTTGCCCAGGTAGCACTCACCCCAGCTTGCCAGTCTCTGATTTGGAGAAAGCATTGAGCGTTGTGTCAGTCAGAAGTGATGTCGGGAGAGACCACTAAAAGCAAAGGAAGCAATGAGGCCAAAAGGGCAAGGCGGAGATCAGACGTGACCAGGGTCTTGGCACTCCCTCCCAGCTCTGCCTCTGAGTGATCACGGGGCTTTCCCCCCTTTCCTACCCTTCTGGCATGGGCCCGTATGGGAAAAATTCTTGGTTCTCTCCCAATTCAGACAAAAAATTGAAGCTATACAGCACTTTCTGATCTTTGAAGAAAGGTACCCAGGGATCCCAGAGACAATTATTCCCTTGAAAAGGAAGGGTCATTGAGACCCAGAGGCAGGGCCTAGGGGAGAAGTAAGAGGGTCGGGACCACATTCGACCCATGCTGCACTCTTCAGGCACAGGAGGGAGGCGTCTGGCAAGGAGCTGTGCCCCTCACCCTAAAGGCATCACTCACCACTGGAGCAGAATCAGAGACAGCTCCTATGTGGAACCCTTTGTAGCACCAACTCCGAAGCAGATCTACTCCTACGACAAGATTAGCAGGGGTGGGACTTAGAAGGGTGGAATCAACTGGCCAATCCTTCTTGCCAGGGAGGCTCATTTCTGGGATTTAATCATGGCCTCCTACAGGTAGGGAGGACACATCACCTTTGAGCTTGTTGCCATGGTACTTCTGTTCCCACTGGGTGGTGAGAATGTTGAAATATCGTGGCTGCTCAAAAAAGCGGAGATAGCGAGAAGAGATTCGAGAAGGAAAAATCCGTTCAAATTGACCCCGGCGAGAAAACTCATCCTCCATCTCAACCAGAACCCGAACGTCATCTGGTGTCAGGACATCCAGGACAGATGCATAGAAGTCCTGTGGCCCAAGGAACAGGGAGGAAGAGGGTGTGACACCGAGTATAGCCAGAGGCAGAGAATCAAGGAGCTGGGGGACAGGGAGCAGAGCCCTGGGGTCCTAGGGCCCCATGACTCTCAGGGGACCACCGAGGCAGCCTGGTGGGCCAGCTCTGGACTTCGTCTGCTCCCAAATCTACTGAGCTTAGCTGGGGAATGAAGATACTCTTGTTCGGGGTGAGGGGAGCCACTTAGGCACAGAGGTTAAGTGGTTTGTCGGATGGAGTCAAGATCAGAATCCAGCAACTCATATTTGGCAACAGCTTTGTGTCTGCCACTCTTGCATCGGGCTCTCTCAGCTGCTCCGCAAAAGCCAAGGCTTCCGGGAGCTCACTGTACTAAGGGAAAGAAACCCGAAGAACAACGGTGGCTTAGGACAGCATTTTGCCAAGAGCCGTGGTTCTTGACTATATGATAAAGGCCATCAACTCTTTCCTGGAATAATGTACTTGCCAACCTATCTCTGCACAGCGAGGGGACCAGGATTAGGAAACCTGCCCTGGATAGAAGAGACACTGGTTGCCTCGGAGTTCCAAAAGTTTGAGCAGGGAAGCTTCCTGCTGGCACGAGGGGGAAGGTAATCTCCTACCTGATCAGGAGTTTTCTGGGCCAGGTAGTAGGCTTTCTTCATCTTCTGTGCAGCGAAGTGCTCTGGGGCCATTTGACATTTGTCTCTGGGGGAGATGGGCAGGCTAAAGCAGGTGGAAAGCGAGAAAGGGCAAGGTCAGCAGCTTCATATCCTGAAGACATGTGGAGAGAGGGTCCAGCCCAGGGAGACACCCTTCTCCAGAAATGACAAAGAAATATGGGCAGATGTTCGTTACTTGAGTAGATCAGACTGCAATGCACTCCATTCAAGTAGCCTGTTTAAGAGTCAAAGCTCAAGTACCATGAAGAACTAAAAGAGTACAAAGTGCCCACTCTAGGTTGTATTTCACTGATGGAAAAAAAAAAAAAGACACTGAGATAATTGCTGTATACTTCAGTTTAGTTTAAGTTAGTGAACACTTACTTAATACCCAGCTCGGACCTACTGGCTATGCGATGCTGGGCAAATTACTTGACCTGCCTCCATCTCAGTTTCATCATCCACATTACAATTACTACTGAGAGACACAAAGCTGGCCTCCAAGGAGCTCACAGGATGGCAGGGGTCAAATGACAAATAACTACAGCACGGAGCTAAGCATGAGTCTACACGGTATGGGAGAGAAAGCAAGTTCTGTTAGGAATTGAATTCCACCTCTATACCACTCTGTAGCTGAATGACCCTGGATGGGCTACTTATTTCTAGTGATTTTCAGCTTTTTCATCTGTCAGCTAAGGATACCAATATCAATGTCATGAGGCTACTGTGGGGATAAGTTATAGGTTTTTCCTTACACATAGAAAGTGCTGACTAAATATTGGCTCCCTTCCTTCAAGAATGGTTCCAGGAGGTTTGCGGATATGGAGGAGAGAGCCCACACTGAGCTGGCTTCATGAAGATGTTGCCTTGAGCTAGGCTTTGATGGTTGGGTAAGGTCGCAACAGGGAGGTCTGGCTGAGGGGAATTTCTGGAGGAAGAAACCCCATGAGCAAAGAAGGGAACACTATGGGGAAATAATAAGGGGCAACAAATGTTTCAGCGAGACTGGATTAACTGATTTTAAGAATTCTTCCAAACTTGAGGTTCTATGAGTGATCTGGTTTGTCAGAGCATGGAAACTGGAAAAGGGGTACAGGAAAGGGTGCCTGGGGACTTGAATGTGCACGTGAGTGGAACGCTGATTCCCCAGGCCCTATAGAGATAGCTGAGCAGGGGAGCAGTATAACCAAACATGCTTCTAGGGGCTGACATGGCAGTGGTGCATGAGGAGACTACAGGAGCAGATCAAGCAGCAAGGGAGGCCAAGTGGGAGGGAGTGCCCAGACACCATTCTTTCCTAGTGATACGACTGGGCTGTTCACGCTGCCAGCCGAGCTGCAGAAAAGCAAGGAGGCTGACCTGGTGGTGGAGCTGCTGGAGCTGCTGGAGCTGGAAATGATATCCTCTGCGTTGGGCAGAACAAAGCCCGCCAAGTTCAGAAGGTCACGGATCATTTGGCCTTTGATGCTGATGTCCAGCGGAGAGTTGGAATGGAGGCTTTGGGGAAAGGATGCAAAGAGTAGTAAAAACACATTCCAAAACTGTTTCTGTCCACGTGTCTAAGTCAGTGCTAGCCCCATTTACTCTCTCGATTCTCTAGGATGAAAGGCCTCTGACATTCAAACTCATGAGCACCATCATAGGGGTCATCTTGCCCACAGATAGTGAATAACCTTATTCAGGGTGGTTGTTGTCTATGACCTTCATTTGCTAGGGGAAAGCAAGCAGTGGGATCAGCTTCAAAAGAACAACTTTTAACGACCCCTGTCCATCCCCAAAGAACACTAAGATAATGGCAAAGAATGAGTAAATGAGCAAACAGACAGATGATGAAGGGAAAACTCAAATTCTAGTGAAGGAAAGGTCTGCTCAAAGTAAGCAAGACTAGAGTGGAAACAGAATCATGAGGATACAGGAAGCGTTCTACTGTGAGTGCCGAGAACACCACCTGCCTCGGGGAAATGTTGACTTCCAGGACCCAGGGCTTGAGGTTCTCATCAAGCATGATGTCGAAACCAAAGAGCTCATGGCAGCTGTAGGGTCGCCGCACGTACATCTTCAGCAGGCTGGTCACGTATGGTTCTGACCTGGTCACAGGAAGGAGGAAGTATTCAGTCCAGCTCTTCCCAGAGGGCTTTACCAAGAGCTGCCCCGCCATTGGGGTGGCCCAGAGTGGGAGAAGCAACCCAGAAAAAGTGGCTCTCGGGAGAGGCCTCTGATCTGGGGCCAGCTTCCGGGGATGAATTTCAGTAGAAGAGCAGAATTTAACGCTATCCACTCTTTCCTATTCCCTATCCTAAAAAACTGAAACATAGCATGGTCAAAATCTGGAGCACAGCAGTGTGAAGACCCATGAGAAAAGAGGGGGTTCATTAGCAGGCCCCACACCAGGGTGGCAGTGTGACTCACGAGATGATGGTTTTGACAACAACATCCTTGATCTTCTCCCAGATGGCATCACTATTGACTCCCTTCTGGCTCAGGTAGTTCCATAAAGCCTTCAGTGCCCTGCAAGGAGGGGGAGGGGGGCGGGAGTATGAGGTTATAGTCCATGAATTGAGTGATGAAGAAAAGAGAAAGAAAAAGGAATAAGAAACTCAAAGGTATTTTCTTCATATCTCTTCTTTTTTATGTTTTGAATTAAGAAAGAGATGAGCTTGGATACAAACAGACCAATCTGAATTGCCAAGTGTTTATATAATCCTGGGGTCTTACATTAATCCTCCACTCACCATCTCCTTGAACCTCCCCAAACCCCAGGACCCTATGCTCCTCTAGGCCTCCGCTCGACAGGGACACTGCCTAGGTACCATTTGTGGCCCTGGCAGGCCGTTTCATCTGCATTGGCCTGGTACTCAGCATTCTTTATATTGACACTGTAGTTGGTCAGATGCATGAACTTGTTGCCAAGGCTCTTCATGGAGGGGGAATACCTAGAAGTGAGGGGAAAGGCAGAGGGTAAGATGGTGAGATAGCAAACAATGGTCCAAACACTTTCCCAAATCCTGAGGTGGTCAAGGACAAGCAGACAGATCTTTTCAGACGCATAAGAGCCTCAGAAGTATGTCTGTTGGTAAGGTTTCTAGAATACCACAGCTAAACTCATCTCCTTTATCCCACCTCAGTCCTGCAGGAAGACCCTTCCCAGACTCAGTGAAGTAGAGACCCTCCTTGTTTCCCATTCCTCATGTGATACTGTGATTTATAATTTTATATACAAAGGGTGCCAAAACAATGTAAACACATACTAAGAAAAGAAAAAACTGCGTTAAAATTGTAATAGTCAATATATACCGATAACAAAAGATGAATGCAAGTCATGTGGATACATTTTCTTGGCACCCCTGGTATACATCAGGCACTGCCCCCAGTTCCTGACAAGAGCTCCTAAAACTCTCATAAATTCTTAAGTGATAAGAGCACTAGCAGCATCTTTTGTTCCAATATTTGTCTTTGGTTCTGGTTCCTTACATAGGGCTCCTGAAACCCCTTGTAATTTCGTGGATGATAGGAGTGTCTTTTGTTCTAATGAGGAGATTTTGGGTAGGCTCCTGGATGAGGGCTGGTCACCACAAAGACCAAGCCATGATTAGAAACTTGGAATTTTCAGCCCAGACCCCCCTTCTCTTGAGAAGGCAGATGGGCTGAAAATGGAGGTAATAATTGATTATGCCTGTGTGATGAAGCCTCCATATAAATCCCAGAAGTCTGGGGTTCAGAGAGCTTATGGGTAGGTGAACACATGAGGTGTTGGGAGTGGAATGCCCATAGAAGAAATGAAAACTCGACACCCCTTCCCACATACCTTGCCCTACACATCTGTTCCACCTGGATGTTCATCTGTATCCTTCATCATATCCTTTTATACTAAACTAGTAAACATAAGTAAACAGTTTTCCTGAGTTTTGTAAGCTGCTCTACCAAATTAATCGAACCAGAGGAGGTGGTCATGGGAATGTCTCATTTATAGCTGATGAGGCAGAATCACATGTGGCAACCTGGACTTGTGATTGGCATCTGAGGTAGGGGGGTGGGGAGCCTTGTGAGACTGAGCCCTCAACCCTCCGTCGGGCGCAACTGATCTCACAGATTCATTGCACACAAAGATGCCACTATGAAATACGTCTTTACTGTACTAAGTCACAAACATGACTGGCAATAGGTTACCGTAGAGGGGGAAGATACGGAAGCGATGAGCCACGGTACTTGTTAACTGTTAGATATTGAAACTTTGTGTGCAATGAATCCATGAGATCAGTTGTGCCTGAAGGAGGGTTAACCTGTGGGATCTGACGCTTTCTCTAGGTAGATGGTGTCAAAATTGGGTTACACTGTAGACACCCAGCTGGTATTGCAGAGCACTGCTTGGTGTGCGGAAAAAAATATTTGGTGACCAGAAGTGTCAGCAGCGAAGTAGTCTGTGTAAAAGTAAAGGAGACGCACACAGGAGGAAAGGAAGACCAGGTTTTCACAAATATAGCCCCACTTCTCCTTTGCTCACAAAAGCTACCAAAACATGTTATTTTTCTGTTGGGTGTCCTCCAGGTTCTCTTCCTCTCAGGAAAGCAAACCCCCAAAGCTGTCAGGGTGACACCTAACCACTACCACATACTTGCAACTGGCAAAGCGGACAAGTCCATCAGAAAAGAGGTAAATCCGTAGAGGATCATAGGAGGTGACGTAAACATAGATGCGCAGATCAAACTTGCTGCCGCTGATGAGGTAGGGTTTATGTAGATACCTACATAGGGAAAGGTGAGCTTCAGGGGCTTGGCAGATGAGATAGAGCTCATGAGCCGTGGCAAGCCAGAGAAGTCCCTGGGGAAAAGACTTACAACAGTTGGCTGAAGGAGGTCTGTGGCTGGGAGGACAAAGGGCAGAACAACATGGTAAAACGGGAACTTCTAGGCAGAAGCAATGAGAAAATGGGGAGCTGGATCCGAGCTGCAGGCAGGCTCACCTCTGTACTAGAAGGGGCCGTCGCTTGGGGAGCTGACTCCACTTGTGAATGACCTGGATGCCAATGCCTCGAGCTGATGCTGGCTAGAAGTCAAGTGGAAAGGAGATGAGACCTGCTCTTGGCCCAGGACTCTGCTGTTCCCACTCTCAGACCATGGCCTGCTCCCCTCTGTGACTCACTCACTGGTTTAACAATCCACTTTTGGCGGCTGCTGCTCTCCCAGGCTTTGCGCAGGAGCTTGGCGTCCTGGGGCAGGATAAAGGATTGGGGGAAGAAGCTGAACTCCTTCTTGCCAAAGCGGCTCTGCATGCGGGACAGGTTCCGCCACAGTCGGTCCTTTCGCCCAATCTGGAATGAACCTGGGAAGTGGTTTAGCTACAGGCGGGATAGAGGGTGAGAGCAGGGAGTGGGCCCAGGTTAGACCATGAGGAAGATGGCAGGGCTCACTATCCCAGCCCAACTTCCTTAGCAACTTTCTAAGCTCCTGCTCCATCTTCTTATCACTGCCTAATGGTCCTTAAGTATTCAGCTACTGAGCATGCACCAAAAGATGATTAAAACACAAACAAAACACAACAAAATTCAGTGCCCTCTAGGAGTTGATAGTTCATGACATATAACAGTGATTAAGACAGGTACAACATCCACCTTAAGTGCAAAGAAAAAGCTGTTAAATCTTTCCCCTTGGCAGCTTATAGGACAAACACAGAAAAGCACCTGGCCTTCAGTAAGCCTGGGGGCAAGGGATTCATTCATGACATGAGACCAGAGTCCTCTTTACACAAATTCAGTTGGAAGAAGGGAGGAAACACGCAGTGGTTGTAGGGGAAAGATAATCAACTGAAAACAGACACTGCATCTGAGGACACATTAGAGGAAAGTGTCTTTGAGAGGCTACGACTGCCCAAGTCACTGCAGCTGATCTGCTAGATGTGCGTGATCTGCTAGGATCTGACATGGCTCCCTCCCGTATAATTTCTCCAACTCCTCCATAAAACTTCCTGACTTCTCTGTGGTCACCCACCTCTTCCCTCCGATACCAGACTGATCCCGCCTAGTACAAACTCCTGGGGAACAGTGCCTCAGAAAGGGCCCCTACCTTCTGATGTTCCCGAATGGCTCGGAAACCAGGAGACTTCATGTGGTGACCCCAGCAGCCCAGCCAGTCATCATTTCCTACAGAAGGCACATCGGGGAGTCAGTCCTGCTAGCAGCTCAGTCCCTGGGACAGAGAGAGGTCCAGAGGCCCCAAAACACCAATGGGCCTCGGCAGAGCTCCCAGAACCTGTTTTCTAAGAGTTACCATGGAGCTGTCCTACATGAGGCCCTGGGGTCCAGGATAGAACAATGGCTCTCTGTCTTCCAATTTTGAGGGAAAGACTCTACTCCAGAGAGTGTTCGGAACTATGTATTCCTATGAGGTTGGCAACTTCAGGACAGGATCCCCACGTAGCAGGAGGCATCTAGGGCTCTCCTGCTGCCCAAAGCCCACCTGCTGGGGCCGAGGACAGGCTCACAGTAAGGCAAACAACTCACTCTTGCTGATTTTGAAGTGGGACCGTCCAATGGTCTGCTTGACAATGTTGGGGGTCACTGCACTCATCTTCCACCGGAGCAGTTTCCTCTGTTCCCAGGGAAGTTTCTCCACTGGGGGAAAGTGGGGTGTGGGTGTGGAGGAGAGACATGGTAAGAAGAGGAAAAAGATGGCACTATTGTTCAACCTTCCCTAGGTAGACAAGTCACATTCTAGATCAGAGTTTCAAAGACACACACTTTGGGGAAGAAAGGAGGCTGTATAGGAATGAGGAACACAGAAAGGAGGGGACGTTGGAAGGGGAAAGAAACAATGTAACAGGGCAAGAACGAAGCATGAGCTTATGGGGCTGAGAAGGAATGTCTTAAGGACAAACCGGTATCAGACGGGTGAACCAGGTGGAGAACCGAGCACCATAACAGCCATTCTAGAAAGCCCCTCCCACCCTTTTGCTACCTTCTCCCAGTTTTGCTAGCATCCTTCTCCTGGTGGCTCTTCTGAGCTTAGACACTTGGCTAGGTTTACCTCTCTCATCCCGAGTACTAAAATAGATGGTAGGGGGCACGTTGGGAAACAGGCTATAGACAAGGGCTGGTCGGACAACTTTCTCACTCGAAAGAGGTTTGGTCAGAATCTCCATGCAGCTCCTAAGAAGAAAAACAGACATGTAGTAAAGAAAAAGAAAGCCACAGCCCTAAAGTGTTGTTATTATTGCATTTTTTTTTTTAGGGCACTGTCTTTTAAATTGTACTTCTACAAAGGCAAATGCGCAATAATTATTTTGCAAATATTAATCAATAAGGTTCTAGGGCTCACCTACATACAACCATACCATCAAGTGTCACCTACAGACAAGGCTTTCCAATACTTCATTCTGTGATACATCTCCAAAATTTCCTGAGATAAGCCACGAGTGGGGGAAGTTCCTGAAAGAGTGGTTCTGAGAGCAGGTAATGAGTTTGGGTGGATACCAGTACAGGCATACATTACACTAAGACAAAGAGAAATAAATGAAGAGAGGAAAAGAATGATATGGATAATTAAAAAGGAGGAAAAGCAGAAACGACCTAATAAAGGAGTATAAAGATTTTTAAAAAGAAAAAGGAAAAAAGCAACAGAAAGAAAAGCAACAGTGGTGCTTCTAACTCATTTTATATTTAGGTTTCTCTGAAGATACGCAGTTGATTAATGCTCTTCTCCATTTGGGAAATGATTTGTGATACCAGATTGCTATGCAACAGTGTGGTAAGGCAGATCTGAGAATCTGGGGCAGTGGGCCATGGGGTCCCTGTTGTTCCAACAATGGCTAGGCCAAGGCTATCTCAAGGAGTCTCAAAACAGGAATATGTCAACTCTCTATTGGGTTCAAGTTGACAGATCCAGACCATGTCTTTAAATAGCACGGAAAAGGAAGAGAATAGTATTACTCTCTATCCTGAGCTGATATGATCCACAAATATTAGTATTTAATTTTTAGCTTATAAAAAGCCATTCTACCTGTTACTTCGCAGCACAACAGAAATAGGCACTGTATATAAAATGCTCAGTATTTTAAACCTTAGGAATTTTTACTGAAGTTTATTGGGTCAAGTTAAATAGTAATTCCCAATTAATTCAACTCTATTCCTCATTTCCAAAATATTTTACTTCAAAGGCTTTTAATTTACTGAGTATCAGAATTTGATACTCAAATCAAGGAGAATGAGTTAATTTAAAAAGAAAGACACCTTGGGCAGGCCGAGTGGCGCGGTGGTTAAGAGCTGGCTTGGGACGCCAGAGGGCCCCGGTTCGGATCCCACATATGAGGGCCAGTGACACTGCCCTCTACAGCAAAGATGCTGAACAGCAGCTCAACCTGGAGCTGGGCTGCCGTGAGTCACCGGTGACGGCTAGGCTGCAGTCACTGCTGCAGTGGGTTGCCATGGGCTACCACGTGTAGCCAGCAGCCAGCGTGAGAGGCCAGCAGCCGCCATGAGCGGCCGTCCAGAAGCTGGTGACTGATCTGCCTCGCCCGGGAAGAGTGCAATGATGGTACCAACGTGGGCCAGTGAAGCAACGTCCTCTACAACTAGACTGAAGAACAGAAGGACAGCAACTTGTCTGTTCCCCTTCTCCCAATTCCCCAGCACTGTTCCCATCCCCCAATTCCCCAATAAAAATCTTTAAAAAAAAAAAAAAAGAAAGACACCTGAAATTAATATAATATAGTAAGTCAACTGTAACTGACACACACACGCAAAATAAAATCCAAAGAGAACATATAATGCAAAATGGTACAGCAATTCTGGAAAACAGTTTTGGCAATTCCTTAAAAAACTAAATATGCAATTATCATACAACCCAGCAACTGCACTCCTGGGCGTTTATCTGAGAGAGATGAAGACTTATGTTCACACAAAAATATGTACATGATGGTTTCTTTGTAATAGCCAAAAACTGGAAACAACCCAAATATCCTTCAACAGGTGAATGGTTAAACAAACTGTGGTATATCCATACCATGACTACTCAGCAATAAAAAGGAATGAACTATCAATACATGCAACAACCTGGATGAATCTGCAGAGAAAATGCTGAGTAAAAAAAAGCTAACCCCAAAGGGTTACATATGGTTATCATTCCATTTGTATAACATTCTTGAAAGGACGAAAGTATAGAACAAATTAGTGGTTGCCAGGAGTTAAGAGGGGATGGGAATAGGAGTGAAGTAGGTGTGACTATTAGGGCAACACCAGGAATGCTTGCAGAGATGGAAATGTTTATATCTTAACTAATGTTAATATTTTGGTTGTACCATAATATACTGTAGTTTTGCAAGATGCTACCATGGGGGGAAACTGAGTAATGTGTTTGGGGGAATTTCTCTTACAATTGCATGTGACTCTACAATTGTCCCCAAATCAGAAGCTTAATAATTGAAAGAAGAAAATCTTTGTTAGCTGCCTCTCAAGAGCACTGGACTTTTATCAAGAGGCTTGGCTTCTGGTCTAGCAGTGCTGAAAATGATGAACTTAAATTTTCTGGACCTCAATTTTTACATCTGAAAATAAGAGGCTAGACTTGGTGACCTTCATCTCTAAAATTACATATTCTTAGAAAAAGAACATAGAACTGGAAATACGATAAACTATTGCTGGGTAGAGAAACAGAGGCAGTGTTTTCAATGATCTCTCTGTAATTGCTGAATTGTCTTTAATATATAAATCTTTCATAATTGGAAAAAATAAGATTTTACCAATCCAAAAGAATTTCTGACTTTAGTCATCCTTAAAATGCAAAGTGGTTTGGAATTCCTCAACCTCCATGTGCTTGAAAACCCATGTTTTAAGCCTCACATGGATTAGAAGGTCTATGCCTTTTGTAAGAGTTAATTAATGAACAAATTATTAACAAACACCTTTTGTGAATTTTATCTTATAAATCAGAAAGGTTACATAAAGGGCTATGCAGCTATCTCGAAGTAGGCCTGAAAACAAACCCAGATCCCCTTTACGCATGGAATAGGTGGGACTCCAAGTCAATTACATGCTAACTATCTTTCTCTGACGAAGAGTGGCGGTGCTTAGTCAACATCCAATACATACAACCAGAAATAGCTTTGCTTTTCTGAAAGGAGGATGGGTTAGGCTTAAAGTAACAGAATTTATGCACCAGACTCAGGGTACCTATGACAGGATTTCTATCCACCTTTATAGAAAGTCCCAATTCTGTCTGTCCACTTGCCCAACAGCTCTCTCCACCTTGCTGGGGCTCTAAAATTGGTACAGCTGCTGCCACCATCACATTCACAGAGATGTAGCTTGCTTTGTCCATAATAACCAAGGCATGGAAAGCTCCTTTTCCTCTTAACTTCGTCTAAGGCACCGCTGACACAAAGAAAAGCGTCTGAGTCTGAGTGCTCCACATGTTAGGCAAGCCTTGACATATATGGCTGGATTTGAATTAAAATTAGAATAGAAATTTTTAAGTAAAAATAAACTACAAAAACAAAATACCCATTTTTTATATTTATATTTTGTTTCTTCTATGTTTTCAGTAGAAGTTATTTTTAGAAAGAAAAAAACTTTAATGTTTAGTACTTTGGGAGGTTCTTTTTAACATTTAATAAAACAATATAATTGATGACAGACTCTCACATTGAAGCCAGGTTGGAAGTGGTGAGGGGAACAAGGAAGGCTATGTTGAAGAACGTTAACTTTCTACCCAGAAAGGTAGTGTATACGATCCTTTAGCCAGTTCTACAACTTGAGCACAATAACGTGTCCTCATTTACAGTAATTTCCTCATAGTCGGGCATTCCTTCCTCTCCCCCAATTCTCCACCTCAGCATCCTACAACTAACTGCATCACAAAAGAGGGGCCTACTCTGAGAGACTGATGTTTTGGTTCCATAGTTAGAGATAGATATCACTCAGATTCACCAAGGGCAGTCAGTAAAATAATGTATTTTAAAGCTAGAAAATTTTTCATTCAAATTCTTATTACTACGGTTAATGCCAGTTTTATTTCCCAATATAAAACTAACCTCAGAATGGAGCAAAAGAGCATTTCCAATTTCCAAAAGCTCCAGTTAACGGTATATCTATCCCAGAGCTGTTTCTGACAGTGGAACACATTTATAATGCAAGGTGGCAATTACCCTCGTGTGGGTGGCCTACTAATTTACCTCAAACATTATGCTTCGTAATTAATTGGTTATTAATTTTCTACGACTCCTTGAAATTATTTGCTTTTTACTTGAACAATTTCTTGGAGCCTAAAGACCAAATTGCAGCCTAAGAAACATGGTACTCTTTTTCAGCCCAACTGATAAAATATGTTTCTGGTCCTTTCCATGCCTCCTTGTTTGAAAACTAAAGTTCCAGAAATAAAAATCTGGTAAAAATTAGTTAGGGTTAATAGGGTCATTAACGATTTAGGTGATTAATCTGTTTATAATCTTCAACAGAAAATGAGCATCTACCTACGATCTACACAGACAACACTCACCGAGAGATGACTGCTATCGACTCGCTGGGGGAGACGGCATTGAATGAGGAGCACTCTGCGTCTCCTAGGGGGAAAGCAGAGAAGTTCTGAATGGGAGAGGCCTGCTGCTACACAAACTCACTAAGCCTAGGCAGCTCTTCCTTGGACATCTTGGCTCAGCCTTCTTGGAGAGCCACAAGTACCACCCTGCTGCCTTGCACTGCCTTCCCTGGGCTAGACAGCAACAGGGAGAAGACAAAGCTGATGCGACAGAAGGGCTAGAGAACAAAGTCCCCCAAAAGTCACTACCCACCACCCTTGGACCTCCAAGGCAAATGAGTAATGTAAATAATAAAGTGGGTCAAGGACCTGGTCCACAATTGTTAGCCCCCTTCCCCAGTGGGTGGTGACCAATTCCCAGCTGGAGGTAAGAGGGTCCCCTACTTACCTTCCTCCTCCTCATTCTCATCATGGCTGCAGCAGTCTTCCAAACCATCTACTAGCTCTTCTTCTAGATCTTCAGCTTCAGTCTGGTCTAGCTGGAGGTCAGTAGCTGAGCTATAAGAAAGAATAATGCCCCAGCCCAACCAATTCCATAATGGAGGTCACAGTTAGAGTCTCATTCCTTCCTCATCTCCCAATGTTTGTCTCTTCCCCAGTCACCCATCTGCTGTCTCTTACCTAGATCTCACAATTCATTTCTCTTGCCCTCAGAGCTTAGGTCGAGCCAGAATTACTCAATCCTACACTCCCTATACTGTAGAGAGGCACTATGTCTTCTATCTTCTCTGGAGTCCCTCAGAGCATATGAGTACAAAATTCTACATTCAGAACACCATCAATGGCTGTTGGGTAATTGACTTCAAAAGACCCTAGACCTCTCTCTGGCCAAGGCCGAGGTGAGCCAAGGTTCAAGAGAAGTAACAAGGAGACAAGAGAGGAAGCCAAGCATATGTATGCCCAAACTCTAAAACAGTTGTCATACCAGGAGTGACTGAGAATCTGATTTGGTTTGGAATTAAGTAGAAAAGTCATAGGCCACAACAGGTGGTGTTTTTGGAATTCTTATTTCTACCTGGTCATAATCTAAAGCAGGGGTCAGTAAACTCTTCCTCTAAAGGAGCAGGTATTAAGTATTTTCAGTATTGTGGACCATTCAGTTTGTCATAACTACTCACCCCTACCACTGTAACAAGAAAGAAGCCACAGGCAGTAACAGATGAATGGGCAAGGCTGCATTTCAATAACTTTATTTACAAAAGCAGGCAATGGGTGCGATTTGGCCTGCAAGCTGTAGTTTGTTGACCTTCGTTTGCCCTAAAGTGAAAACCAAAATTCTAGGGCAGCTAAAAAAATGAAACCAACCTTTAGAGACACAGGGTCAGTGTCACCAAATCATGGTGTACATATTCTACAGCTCTAAAGGAACCAAAAACTTTCCCCAACTTACCCAATATCCCTAGCAGATGAGTCCAGCTCCCTGGCTTCTTTAGGTCCCTCCTTCCCAAGCTGGCCCAGATGGATGGAAGAGAGGCGGATGGCCACGTCAGCTAAGCCACAGGGCTGAGGGGAAGAAGGCAGAGCTGGAGTTTTGTCTTTTCCAAGTGGTGGGGGGTCGATCGTAGATCCACAGGCAGGGCTGTGGCTGAGCCCATTGGCATGTGAGGCAAGGAGGTGAATGCTGATGCGTTTGGTGCAGAAGACTGTGCTATCCAACTCCAAGGTGTCCGAAGCTCCAGGGAGGATCCTACTGTCTGCTCCAGCATCCTCCTGCGGGAACTGCTGCTCTACCATGGGAGGTTTCCACCGCCTGTTCCTGTGGAGAAGATCCCACTGCAAGCTGGGGTTCATGAAACAAGACTGATCAAACTGGTAGCCTTGCCTTGGCTTCTCAAAGCCTCGTGCAGTCAACTTCCTCACGGCCTCAGTGAACCGAACCTCCCTGGACAGAGCCTGGGAAGTGGAGTCGCCATCCAGGTCAAAGGGATGTGGCTTTGCCCTCATGGCTAAGTTGCTCTGGTTGTACTGGGGAGAGGCAACACTGGTAGCGGAAGTGTCTAGGGAGCTAGGGGTAGACAGGGTGCTACGGGCAAGGGCATCCTCTAGGACGGTGCCATGGCCCTTGGGTACCTTGTGTTCAATGGGCTGGAGTGCACAGTCTCCAGTGCCCCCTGGATGATGCCAGGAGACAAGTTGGATCCTGGGTGAGGACAGTGGCTTCAGGCCCTCTGTGGCCTGTGGCAAAGGCACTTTAGTGCTATTTGGCCGCATGAAAGAGTTGTTATTTAGTGTGGGCTTGTAGGAGGAAGAAGGAGAGAGTGGAGATGGGATCTTCCCTGAGATGGCAGAGGCCAGGCTCTTCCCTGAAGGGTTTTCCCCGGCTGCTCCCAGTGAGAAGTACGGATCTGTGGATGAGGATGCCGTGGGCTGGGCCATGGGGAAAACCGTGGAAGACGTGGTCTTATTGGCAGTGAGTCCGACAGGGAGGCTCTTTTGAAGGAGAGAAAAAGATCTTTTTTCTGACGGGCCTGAACGCAGGCAGAAAGACTCCAGTTGCTGGTATGTTTTGTGCCTACAGTTGGAGCGGCGGTACAGCAGGGTACTGCTGAACAGGTCTGGGAAAGACTGCAGGTAACAGGAGCTGCTGTGGCCTGCAATGACAGCTGTGGTCCCAGAGCTACATAAAGTGCCAGGGCAAAAGAAATATGCTGGTTGAGGTGGGACGCCGAAGAAGCCTGGGCCCAGCTTTGCTGAAAGTGTCCCCACGGGCTTCTTCTCCAGCTTCCAGATCGGCTTCACCTGCTGATGAGCCTGGGCCCAGACTTTGCCCTCAGAGGGTTTCTTAGGTGGCGGGGCAGGTGCTGGGCTTGCAGGACCAGTCTGCTTAAAGTTGTTTCCCTGGCGGAGGCCAATACTGTAGTGCTCTGTTCCTGCTGAGGCCATGAGGGACCCACATCATGGCCACATGGCCTCATGGCCCAGCCTAGGTAAGGTGCCACACGCTTCCAGTAGCAGCAGCTGCATCCTTGAAGTCAATCCCATCAGCCTGAAGGGAAGAGAGACAAATGGGAATGTTACAATCCCAGGAGGACAAATACAATGCTACAGTGGTCCCCAGGTAAACAACACAGTCCCATGTCAGTATTTCTTGGGTGACCAGTCTTGGTCATCATTTGGGGCCCTGGGGGAAGAACACTAGATTCTTAGGGTGTTTTCAGTGGTCTTCCTGCTGCCCTCATGCGATCAAAGCTGGCTACATCAGGACTGGGAACTTAAGGCTCCACCACTGTGAGTCTACTCACCTGATGCCACTCTCTCACTCAGAGGGCTCTTTCCTCTCTCTCGAAAAATGAAACAAAAACACATCTTGTTGTCTCACCTTCCACAACTTTACATGAGGGGCTTTCTTCCCTCACCTAACACTGGTGTGGCTAAGGATAAGGCAAGTCTGGGGGTGACAGAGAAACCATCCAATATCTTCCTCCTCACTAACCAATTCTGAAAGGTCAAAGATCATTCAAGAAACATATTTTATATCTACTGCTCTCTGACCAACTCTCAGCTGCCTCTGGTGTGGTCTACTTGTCAGTTAAGTAGGACAAGTTCAGATCTGAGCAGAGAGCTCCCCTGACCTCTGGAGCTGGGAAAGTAATTCCATCTCTTCAAGAGACTTGCTAACTATATAGGCTTAAATTCCATCCCATGTGTTGGTGGGAAATAGAAGGAACAAAATGGAAGTAAATATTAACATTATTTTTACTTAAAATGACTTTATTTCCAGTAGCCCCAGTGAGTCAGGAAAGTTCAGGGAGTAGAATAAGAGGAAAGAAGAAGGGGACAGTTTTCTTTACTCCAGATCCCAGGCTTCAGTTGGGCTGATCTCAGGGTTGGAGAGCCTGTCTCCTATGTTTTCTCATTCAGCGTTTCCTGTAAAGCAAAATCTCTAAACCAGCTGTAGTTCTGGGTCCCAAACAGTCTGTCCAGCAGGGTCACTTACTTTCTACATCAACTGTACAAAATAGTCTCCAGTTTTCACAACTGCAGAGAAAGGTGGGCCTACTTTCATGACAGCATCCGGGGGAAAAAACAAGATACTTCTATAAGAAGGCATTCATCTGGGATGTCACTCATCTGAATAGAATCCTGGCCTCCTCATCAAGTGTTTTCAGAGTGGCTAGAAGGAAGGAATTAGCAGAGAATTTTTTTTGTTCAAGTTACACTTAAAACATAAACTTCAACAAGGAGGGCCAGCCAAGTGGTGCATTGGTTAAGATCTGGCTTGGGACGCCAGCTCTGAGCAGCAGGGCCCCGGTTTGGATCCCACATGAGGGCCAGTGACGCTGTGCCCTCTACAGCTAAGATGGTGAACAACAGCTCCACCTGGAGCTGGGCTGCCGGGAGTCACCGGCGACGGTGTAGGCTGCAGACCCTGCTGCAGTGGGCTGCCATGAGCAACTGTGTGTGGCTGGCAGCCAGCAGCCGGTGTGAGCTGCCAAGAGCTGCTGTGAGTGGCCATCCAGAGGCCGGTGACCAATCTGCCTCAGCAGGGAAGAGCACAATGATAATACCAACATGGGCCAGTGAAGCGACGTCCTCCACAACTAGACTAAAGAACAAAAGGACAGCAACTTGTCTGTTCCCCTCCCCCAATTCCCCAATAAAATCTTTAAAAATAAATAAATAAACAAACAAACTTCAACAGGAAGAGGACCTTATATTTTGATAAGACAGCAATGGCCAAGGGAGATGCACGATTCCTGTTTACAGCTACAGAAACTGCTGGTGTTGTCTATCAGCAAAAGCCTGCAGAAGCCACACAATGTCACCCTTTTCCTGCAAAGGCTGACTTATGTGGATTCTTTGACTTAGAGTACAAAACCCAGAACTCATCACCACTGATATTCAAAATGATAGTGGGGGGTCATCAGAATGGCTCGTTGGTTAAAAGTTGGCTTGGGAGCGCGAGCTCTGAGCAGCAGGGCCGCTGGTTCGGATCCCACATGGGCCAGTGATACTGTGCCCTCTACAGCTAAGATGGTGAACAACAGCTCGACCCGGAGCTGGGCTGCCGTGAGTCGCTGGCGACTGCGTAGGCTGCAGTGGGCTGCCGTGAGCCGCCGTGAGCAGCCGTCCAATGGCCAACAACCGATCTGTCTCAGCCAGGAAGAGCGCAATGATAATACCAACATGGGCCAGTGAAGCGACGTCCTCCACAACTAGACTGAAGAACAGAAGGACAACAACTTGTCTGTTCCCCTACCCCGATTCCCCAACACTGTTTCCATCCCCAAAATCCCCAATAAAATCTTAAAAAAAAAAAATGATAGTGGGCTAAAACAGCATAAGTGCTACAACTAGATTTTGATGCTAGTAACCTCAAATTCAGGCGGCAGAAAAAGGACCCCCACCAAGTCCATACTCCAGAAATATACTGTGCAGGGGACAATTACATTCTAGGCACTTATGGTAGAGAGGCACACACAAAGGGAAGAGTAAAATCCTGCCAGTGACTTTAGAATACAACACATGAGTTTTTGTGGTGTATACTCAACAGGTTCGCAGTCCCAGGTCATGTAGTCAGTCCTCTTTCAGGATTCCACATCTTTCCCCACCAATACAACACACCAGACACACCAAAGTGATGGGAGAAAAGGGCTAAGGAAACGAAATTTGGGGCTGGCGCTCCCTGAAAAATACCCCATCTGTGGATCTCATGTGCATCCTGCTATCTCAGACCTTCATGTTTTTACAAGTGCCGCTCCCTGGAGCCCTTTCCTTCTCATTCACCAGACTTAAAAATAGCCAGCTTGAATATCACCTTATCCAGGTTGCCTTCCTGGACTCCACTGTTCAAACAAGATGCCTCACCTCTGTGCATACCATCATTGTTTCTATGACAATGAGCTTTAAGTATGGACTACTCATCTGACTAGGAGCAAGAAGCACGTTTTCCTCCTGCTGATGTTGCCAGTATAGGGTCTCGTACACAGTAAGTGCTCAATATTATGTTGAATGAATAAACTGGAAAAAGTACAATGAATGAAGGGGAAATACACAAGCACTGAGGAATGCTAGTTTGGGTACCTAACAAATGCTGGGTGTTGTGCAAGGTATTTTGCCTGTATTATCTTGTTTAATCTTCACAGAAGCCTTACATTCAATTTCTGATGATGAATCTGAGACTGAGAAAAACTACGCAACTCTTCTAAATTAACCAACCAACAATGAATGGTGTCTAGATTAAAACTCAAGTTTGTCTGACTCCACACTGCCTCTTAAATAGAAATGAAACACACACAGTCACTATCCCCTCAATTATCCCTAAGCTTCTGGTATCAGACAAAAGCCAGGTCGGAAATACTCTTCCACTGTTTACACTGAGCTCCTCTGTGGGTGAAGTGTGTGCTTCCTTCTCATCAGCACCGCGGCCAATCCCACTTTCCTTTGTAGCCCTGGGTGCCCTCTGCACACACTCAGTAATGCCTGCCTCACTGCAGTGCACTGCATGACTCCTTAGTGCCAGGAATATTGAACACAAGTGTCCTGGCATCTAGCTGACTTGACTTCTAATGCAAATGAGGAAGAGGGAGGAGGCAAGGCAGGTGGTCTGCTTCCAGGCAGAACGGGAAGTGGGCCCGCTGGGCAGGTGCCAGAATCAAGTGGATTCTCTTCTAACAGGATTCCAGATCTCCTGTGTCTCTGCAATGGCCATTTCCGACTCCTGGTTTCCTCTCATAGTCCCCATGAAGTGTAGGATGGCAACTTGGAAAAGGGCCAGCTGTCTTCCCAGAGAAGCACATCTAGACACAGGGGCCTAGCAGGTGAGACAATATTTCTGTCACTCTCTTTCTGGGAAATAGCTCCACAGCTAGTAAGAGACATCCAGAGTTGGCCAAGGTGGCAGAACTGCCAAGCAAAGGCAAATCTGTCATGTCAGATAATCCATAATGAGTAGCTTCAAGAACATGAAGTAAGCAGTATCACTCATAACAATGTCACACACAAATGTTCCAACCTGGTATCACTGTTTTTGGTTCAGAAGTAGTGTCTGGTGTAGACAAGGAAATGAGGGTTGCTAAAAGCAACTTCCTTCTTTCCGCTTACAGCCAGTCCTGATGAAATCAAAACTCCAGGGCCGGCCGAGTGGCGCGTTGGTGAAGAACTGGCTTGGGACACCAGATCCCACATATGAGGGCCAGTGACACTGCCCTCCACAGCTAAGATGCTGAACAACAGCTCAACCTGGAGCTGGGCTGCAGTGAGTCGCTGGCGACCTCGTAGGCTGCAACCCCTGCTGCTGTGGGTTGCCATGGGCTACCGTGTGTAGCCAGCAGCCAGCGTGAGCGGCCAGCAGCCGCAGTGAGCGGCTGTCCAGAAGCCGGCAACTGATCTGCCTCGCCCGGGAAGAGCACAATGATGGTGCCAACTTGGGCCAGTGAAGCAACGTCCTCCACAACTAGACTGAAGAACAAAAAAGGATAGCAACTTGTCTGTGCCCCTTCCCCCAATTCCTCAACGCTGTTCCCATCCCCCAATTCCCCAATAAAAATCTTTAAAAAAATACTATATTACAATTATATATTAAAAAAATCCAAAAAACAAAAAACAAAAACAAAAACAAAAAACCCCATGTGATGGGAAAGCAGAGACCTAGCCAGAACATTCAGGCAGCCTGGGTCCCAGACCCCCTAACTGCTGCCACAGGTCACCTTTTCCTGTATGCTGCCCTCAACAGCATTGCCACTGAAGTGCCAGAAAATGACCCCATCACCCTACAGAAATGCAATGACAAACTTTAAAAAGCTTTAGAAGGCCCAAAATATTATATGAGAAGTAGAGGAGTGAGAAAATAGTTCTAAAATCTAACACACTAAGAATAGTGGTTTCTGCCATAAAGTCAAAGTCCAGGTGGGCAAATGATGCCTGGCACCCAGGCCCTCCAGACGGCATACACTCAGCAGGCAGCTTTTCTGCAACATCCTAACGCCTGTCCCTGTAGTGTCCTCGGGAACCCTTCTCCCAGCTTCCCTCAAATTTCTAAGTGAA